ACAAGCACATGGTATCTAATGTGCTTAACATACAAGTTTTTAGAACTAGATGAGTATCTTATCTACAAGCAATAATGCAGACCTTGCGGATGTTGCCAAGATATCTGGCTGTCCAGGATTAAATTTTATAGATACAACTGTGTCTGTTCCCCATTCAAAACTCTGCTCTGGTGCAGACCTATGCATCACAAAGTATATTGTCATGGTAAGAGGGATAAACAGTTTTTTTTGCAACTTAATAGAAGAATGACCAGGCCAGATCAAAACCTGTTGTGGTTCCAAATATCTACTCCAGCTCCACCCGTAGCAAAACGATCAAAATTCCACTGGTGATCAACAGCCCTGAAAATGAGAAAGTAAACCTTAATAGTAAAACCCATAAAAATCATAGCACATGTCAATTAATTTGTAAAACTAACTAATTAAGTAACATCTCCTCCGAGATATCAATAAGAAACTTACCGAAATGCATTCTTCCAAACATAAGTTTCCAGTGGCTGCAAATATAATTTATAATTAGTTAGGTACATATAATATAGAAAAATCATTCATTGGAGCGACATATCACACTATTAGGAAGGCAATACCACAGCAGATTTATCAGATGAGACATCTTCCTCCAGAAGAGTAGAAACAGGTACACCCCAAAGCCTGACACTGAAAATGGAAGATAGTGATTTCAACATGAACAATCTTCATAACCGGATAGATACAATTAAATGTATAGAGACAGGCGTAACACAGGAGGTTATGCCTTACGTGCTGTCAGTTCCACAAGAAACAAGAACACGCCCATCTGTAGATACTGCTAAACCTTGCACAGCACCTTGGTGACCAGGAAATTGACAAACTGTTCGCCTTTTTTGGGTCCAATGAATATAACAAATACAATAAATTTCAATGCCTTATGCATGAAGTATTGAAATGACTATTAGAGGATTTGAACTATAGATTAAAAAACAAATCCAGGGACAGTGGTCCGAATCTCAATTAAATCATATAACACTCCACATGAGAAAAGCATACGTGGATTCTCTCCAGAAGAGTGCCTAATACTGAGATTCTAACCCATCTGTATGAAATTAAGCAACTCGATTCAGCAGTGTGTGGTTACCTGGAAGCTATATCCCAGAGCCGAATATCTGCCAAAGAAAAGAAATATCAAACACTATAATGGGTTGAGAAATTAAAACAAATTCAAACTCGATAGCTTAATAAAGTAGTATATTAAAAGTTCTATAATCTAAAAGTATTAATTAGAAATCGCCACGGTTCTTTTTCTTAAGATGAATTATTGGTACTTGCTTTTCTTAGATTTAGAAGCAGTATAGGATACCAACTAGAGAGAAAAGACATTAGAAATTTTAAGAGAGAACAAAGTACCTCCATCCATTGAACCAGAAAATATTCTGGTCAAATGGTTTGGATTCTTTGCCATACAGGAAATTGAATCTATATGTCCATCCATTGCTCCAACAAATGGCCTCGCAAAAATCTAAATTACCAACAACAGCAAAAACAAACATAAATCAATCAAATTTAGCATCCATATGCCCAAATATTTAATGCAATCAAAAATTCAGAAAAAAAAAAATACAATCCAAATCCCAAAACATGCCTTCTCCAATTTTGCGGCATTACATGCCCGGACATATTCCACTGCTTTCTCTTGCGTTCGGATGCTGGGGTCGAAATTACGGAATACCCTCTACGGAGATTGAACCAAAAATCGTATTTATATAGAGAAAAAAAACGAAGAAATTTGAGTTAAGAGTAAGAGAGAAGTGAAAACGCACCTGGAGGTCTTGGCTTCGTTCTTTAGTGTATTCATCTGTGGACCGAGATATTACATTCACCTTCATTGTGATTAAGCTCTGCTTTTACAGATAACCTAAGACTTATAAATTCTATTATCAGAGAGAAAAAATTGTAGCCGTATTATAACCTAAAACCCCAACCGCAGAGGGAGGGAAAGCGACGGCGAGGAAGACCAATCTCAGAGGGAAACAGACTGCGAGGAAGAGAGAAAGAGATGGTGAATGTGAATGTGAATGTGAGTCGAGTGAGGACGGAGGAGGAAGAAGAAACGACGCGATGGAGGAGACAAATCAAAGAGGATTTAGCACCCTATGGTATTTTCGAGTCCGTTAATGACTCGGCTGCTAGTATCGGTTCGGTTTCGGATAATTGCCGGTTCAGGAATAATTGAACCAATTGTCGAACTGTTACAAGCTATGTTATACCGATACGCCGGCGAGGGGTATGCTCGTATCGGATACTCCTCCGATACGTATACGGAAAACGACGTATCGTGGACTTTTCTGTTATGTTGACCATCCGATACGTCTTCGATACGCCATGGACACACGAGCGATACGGTCAAGGATATTGTGGGGGGTTATTTCGCAATATACTTAGCCTCTTCTTCTGGATTCGACAGAGGCTAGTTTTTACTGGTTTCGGCGGTGGAGAAGAAAGAAGAAGAAGGAAGAAGAAAATAACTTACTTGCGCTTGCAGCTATTGCGAATCTCCAGTTGCAGTTGCTCTGTGAAGAAGACGCGGCTAACACGTGAAGAAGATGACGGAAGGTGCCCTAATTACAATACGCATCGTTTTACTTACATGCTTTGAGTGAAAGAAACAGTAGGCCCAACCCAGATGCCCAAACTTTTTTAAAATAATTTTAAATGTATTTTTTTAACGAAAATTTAACAGAATTTTGACGGAAAGGACCACATTTGTTAACATATACAAACACAAGGATCAAATTCAAGGATGGAACCAGAAATTTTTCAACGAATGGGCTAGCTAAAGTTATTAACTTAAAATCTAATAAACATTTTTGTTTTGTACTTTCATTTTCTATGATCTTTCTACAAATAAAAATGCACATTAAATCATATAAACTACACTATATTTATTTGGTTTGTGGTATTTCTCTTTCGTCAATCAGAGAGGTATTGTACAGACCAAAGGATACAAAGACAATTGTAGTTATGGTTGATTCATGAGTTATTTAGAAAGAAAAAAAACATAGAAAGAAAAAATCTTGAGTTTTCTAAAGAACATCGCACCTACTCCTTTATGAAAAAAGATAGGGCTACTATGTGCGATGACTGCCAGAGGAATGCGATGGCCGTGATATTGGGCAGCAATGGACGGCCCTGGTGGTGGTGACTGGGTTTAAGGATGAGCCACGGTGGGGTAAGGAAGACAAAAACATATTAAAGTTAAATGAATTAAAATAGTTTATAAATAAAAGTTCAATTATAATCCATTGTCAAAAACAAATATATAAAAAAAAAGAATGATGTGCCACATGACACGGGTTGTTATGTCACTTGCCACATTAGTTGGTATCCAAAGTTGGTAAAAGAGTTGGTGGCTCTAGCATAACTGTTACGAATTTTAGCATGAAACCCGCATAATTTTTTGGGAATAAAATTGGAATAAAATAAACATGTTATGAAGATCATTCATATTGCCAATAGTAAAAAAAAATATTAAAGATAAAATATTTGTGTTTAATAGTAAATGGAAATTGGTAGCTTATGAGTCGATTTTATATTATATATTTAACCATATTCTTAATATATTTTGGTTAATATTTTGGAAAAACTTTGATACTTTGAATTATATTTCCAATATAGGGCTTTCCACTTCCTCTGGAGCAAAACATAATCAAATGGACGAATTTTGGAGTAATTCCAGTTGGAGGACGTTCGTGAGTCACTTAGCTTGATCATGTCAGAATTTCAGATTTTTCTACCAAGTGGTTATTTTCTGGCGATAAAATAAAGGAGCAGTGCGCGGTGCTGAAGTAGTGACGTTTTGGGCTTTTATTGCGTTTTTGGAGCCCAAGATGACCTCGGATGGGTTCGTGACCTTCTGGAGAAGTGTTCATAATATTTTTATCTTTAAAACAAGCTATCTTGGGCTAGATTTGGAGAAGATTTGAAGCCAAAACGTGGCTGGGAAGATTTTGGGCAGATTCTCCTAATCCAATTTAGACTTTATTTCCTAGTATTATTTTATTTTAACTTAGTTTCATTATGGGGATTGGGCAGCTGGGTTTCAGGAGATATTTAAGCTCATTTTCACATAAATTTGGGGACTTTCTTTGGACTTCTTTTTTTGGCTTTTGGGGCAATTGCTAGGGTTTTGGATTTTCGCAACTTTAATGCATTTTCATTCTTTTCTTCTTAATGATATTTTCTTGAATTTCAATTATGAATATGCGTAACTAATTTTCTTTTGTTAGGGTGAAGCCTTGAACCTTAGCATGAATATGTGATTTCTATTTAATTGCTTATGATTGAGAGCATGCATACTTTGAATTATTAATCACTATTTTAAACTATCTACATGTCTTAATGCCTGATCACCATTAGGATCTTTAGAAAAGTAATTTGATGCAATTTTGGTCGGAAGGTTCCCTGAAATTGATGCTAGCTTCTTGTGATTAATAATTGTAATTTCACTTAAGATGAACACCACGTCTTAAGAGTTACATGGTTTTTCAAAGGGTTTTCACAAAACTTAATGAGTCTTTCATGTTCAGATTTAATCCGAACGTCCGGACGGGTTGCATGTTGGATATACATTCTATGTTGGAGGTTTCAAGTAGAATATAAATTAGGAAAACCTAACCTTCAAAGTGACATGTGCAAATCATAAGTAATTGGTAAAAATTCATAGGATTGCTAGGTGATGGTGAAACCCTAATGCTTTTATAAATTGATTTTTAAAACTCTTTCCTTCAATCGTATTTGTTTTTAGCGTCAACCAATTTCATAAACATCTTTCTCGACTTTTAAATTTAGGTGGTTGATTAGAAATTATTTTTACATAAATTGCTAAATAATCCTTGAGGAGAACGACCTTACATGAGCATCTATAATTCAATAGCCTTGTATTTTTGCAAGTATTTTACGTGATTTTAACCTTGTTTGCACAAGTACTAAAAATCCTAAGTAGTATGAGAGAGAGAGAGAGAGAGAGAGAGAGAGAGAGAGAGAATTCATATAAGGGTTTACAAGCAAGAATGATTTCATACTACAAAGGAGAGTACAAACTCATTTAATTAGAAACAGGGGCAAACCTTATCCTGAAATAAACTAAGCCAACCAGCAGCTATCAAAACATGATAATACAGAAAATTCAGGGGGAGACAGCAACAACCACAGTGAAACATAGAGATCACACTTAACCAGTGAGCTCCTCTTCCTTGTGGGTCTCAAGCACAACATCAGATGAAGGATAAGCCACACAAGTAAGGACAAATCCACCATCAATCTGTTCATCATCAAGGAAGCTCTGATCTGACTGGTCCACACCCCCTTCTACAACTTTGCCAGCACATGAAGAGCAAGAACCAGCCCTGCAAGAGTAGGGTAGGTCGATACCGGCCTCCTCCGCGGCGTCAAGAATGTAAACATCATCCGGGCACTCAAACTCTAGGGGCCCTTCTGGTGTCAGCAGCTTCACCTTGAAAGCAGCCATTGTCACACGCCCTCCACGGTTGGCCTTCAACCCGAAAAGAGCCTGGCCCATGTTGGGGGCTAACCGTAGGCTGGTCATCGGCTGGCCGCGGATGAAGGAGGTGCTCACCATGGTGCCAGAGAGAGCTGCCATGTTTGGTTACTGGTTTAGCTAAGCTAGCTAGCTACCACTTCAAAGGTTGAGATTGTGCTTTGAAGCTGAAGAAAGTGGGAAAGGCTTATAGTAGTGTAGATAATCGTTTGTGGACACAGTGTGGCCACGAATGAGAGAAGGATGAAATGGCATAAACCCTTATCTGCCACGTGGCAGCATCTTGTGGCTAGCTCTATCTTTTCATTATCACCACAGGAGGACCATTTCTGGAGAGTTTCAACAGTTCAGTGGTTACTGGTAAGCGAACGTGTGGTGGGCACAATCCTCTTAACCAGGTTTTTGGTCTTCTTTCACTCTCCTCTCCTTATTTCAACTAGTAGGCCAAAGAAACAAAATACCCAAAATAAATAAATAATGAAAAAAAATAGAGGTGGAGATTATCCTGAGGGTTTAATGGTGGTTAGTGGTCAATATTACTGGTTGTAAGACCATCACCAATCATGTTAGGGCTAAACTCAAATTTTCACCCTCCAAAATACAACTATTCATGTATTTTTAGGACTCAAACTGTTTTTTCCTCCAACCTTGCGGACTCATAATTTGAGTCTGCAACTTTATTAAATTATTAAAGAATAATATAATCCTATTTTGTTTTTGTGGTTAATTTTTTTAAAATTAATTTTTGCATATTACTTCATGATTTATTTTTTTGAACATTTTGACATAAATTTTTTGAAATTTCACAAACATAATTTTATTAACAAATTGATGGGTATTTATAGAGTTTAGGATATGTTTTGAGGTTGCATCCAACTTATAATAATATATTTACTTATTTTGACCTTTGGATTTAAATTTCAGCTGTTGGATTAATTTTTTTCCCTTTGATCCAGCCAAAATTTAATATCAGCCGTTGATTTCTAGCCTTTAAGTTTAAAAAAAAAAATTGAAAGGAGCCCATTTTTTATGACGCCATAGAAGTCCAATTTTTAAGTTGCCTAGGCTTTGACAAGTGGCCAGCAACTTGGGGTAGTGGGCAACAGCCCATCATTTGCTTCAAATGTGGCCTCATGTGTCTCTTGTCTTTTGCGAAATGGGCCCCACAAAAATTCTGCCTGGACTGGAATCTGAGGTGAAATTCCACCCCATTTTTCAGTCCACTCAAATTACCCCCCTCCAAATACATGGGTTGGAGAAGGTTTTGGGCTAAAAATCTCAAATTTTAGGTTTGACCTCCCATGGTTGGAGATGGTCTAAGATAACTATAATACCAGAGGTTAAGAAATTCTTTTGGTTTCTGAAGATGGCTAGAGATTATGGGCACATGAAATTACCGGCCTCATCTTAAGATTAACCTCAATTTGTGATTCATATCCAGAAGATAAAAAAATATATGAAATAAATCAGCATGTAAGAGATTTGACCATGACAGAGACTTACAGGCACCAAGAATTAAGAATTTTAGAAAAGAAAATGAACAAACACAAAATTATCACCTCACAATGTGTGGTTTGAGATATTGATACTTATATATGCAGGGTACAGATGGAATCAAAATTCACAAGTCGTTACATAACCGAGAAGCAAAAGTTCATTTCAGAAAGTCTTTCCCCTCTTTTCATCCATCCCAAAGCCGTACAGATTGAAAGAGTAATGGGGCACCTATTTGTAAAAGGTCGAAAAAGAAAATAATAAAGTAACAGGAGAGTTCAACATCTGCTAACTTTCTTAGATTATAAAACAATCTCTGCAATCTAAAATTAAGGCTTTCACTTACAGCCGGGGAAAACAAAAAAAATCTCAGGGCTTTCCCAAGTCCAGAGAAAGAATACATCCCTATCCTCAAACCCTGTGATTTTAATCTGTAGAGGTTACTGGATCCCCATCCCTGACCATATGTAGCTTCCAAACAGAATCTATCGCCTCAACAACGACCAATGTATTCACGGAAGCTCCATCAGGACCATTTCCTCTCTGAGAAACACTAGTCGCACTTGATGTTTCTGTAGATCCTCCTCACAAACAAATTAGAGCCCAGATATCCAACAGCTCCTACACATTCAAAAGGAGAGAAATGAAACACAAGTGAAATTTTTTTTTTTACTAATATCTTTTTTATATTTATCATCAGGTGGGAGAACATGGCACTTGAATTTCTTCTTAGTAACTTGTCATAGTGCAGGTTCATCAAGTTACAGTAAACTTTTCAGATATGCACCAAGAAAAAGGAAAACAGAAAAATCCAAACAAAGCCCAAAAAAATAACATGTCAAAAAGTAACTGCAGAAATATAAAAAGCTGCACCATTTATATACTTCGGTCACAAAGTGAGTACCCATATCCTTGAAGTGGAAATAAAAATCAACAGGGATTTTACATTATACCAGAAGTTAAAGTAAAAGAGAAAACTCACCACAGAGAATTCCTAAGCCGAGGCAAAACATCAAAGTGTACCCAAAATAGAAGCTGGTCTGGAAGAAACCTGACATCTTAGTCTTCGCATGGTAGTAATATATTGAATACAAGTACACGTAGACGGCTGTTGATGCAGCAGAAAAGAATGAAGTCCATTGCCAGTGGTAGTTCTCAGCATTCAGCAAGAAGTATGTCCCCACAATCGTCACGCATACAGTCACAATGATGAGAATCAGAAAAACAAGAAGCATAAAGCCATAGACATAGTACACCTGTTAAGCCGCAAAAATCAAGAAAACAGTTATTATTCATGCTCATAATGTGTAACAAAGTATCAGCCACTTTTACCACAATAGACTAAAAGCTTTCTAAACGATATAGAATCCTCTCAGATATGCTATTACAGAACTTCACCCGGTGTTTGGTAAACAAATGATTCCCAAGACACATCATGAATCATTGCTTTCAAGATATATAATTCAGCTATCAAAACCCATGTCCACATCCTTACATTCATTTTCATAATTTCCATGACTTATGCAATTTTAAAAGATGGGTGCCATAATGACTCCTCCAACTTTTGTAACTTTGCTCTACAGATTGGCACTGCCATATCATAATCATTAATTTTTTGCCCAGATCTATTCTATCAGGGAGTCTATTATATTAATTTTAACAGTACACAGTTATTGAAATTTCACCTTGTAATTCCAGAAGGATGTGAAGACAAAATACATTTCGATAAATATGCTTCCAAAGGGCAGAAGTCCTCCCATCATTGAGACAACAGATGGGGTTAAATACCATTTCTTCTCAGGAATAGGACGAGGAATGGTTTTCACACGACAGGGATTATTAGGAGCACCACTCCAGTTTCTTCCAACAACTGTGCCAAGAAGTGCTAGAGGAAAAGAGATGAAAGCCCAAATGACAAAAACAACCACCATTGTGCCAAAAGGAATAGCAGCTAGAGACCCATAGAATATAGCAATGGTGTTCAAGACGAACCCAATTCCAAAGCACATAAATGGAAATAGTGATGCTGTGAGAATCATTGACTTTATCCAGTTTTTACCTGACAAGAAAAATAAATAATAGTTCAGAAATGTGTGCCTATGCATAAGCTCAAAAATGAATGATTTGTTATAAAGCTTAGACAGAATTACTAGCTTATCAGTCATATTCTTTTAAAGAAATACGTACCCCCATTCCTTGAATACATCCCACCACTTACATAACCAGAAATGAATGAGGTAAGGGCATAACACACTATGAAAGTTGTAACAATTGCACCTCTCCTGAGCAACCAGATAAAAAAATGATGTAAGACAGCATACTATGAAATCTATCAATTCCTCCCATGAACACAAATAGTAATGAACTAATTAACATGACAAAAATTGGGATGATAAGACAAGAACTATTAATGTGTGACAATGCATGGTTGGACTAACACTAATTACAGAAGCATAAACATATGCACAGCTTGAATTTCATGATTAAAACATAAAAAATCATAAAATCATAACACAAAACAATGAAGGCAGAAAGCAATAAATAGCACCCCAAGTATTTTTGAGCAAGCTGTCAACATACCCAACATACAACATTCCAACAATTGCCAGTAAGATGACGAGGAGAACAAGCAAAGCTAGCTGAGCTCCCGTGCCAACAACAGCTGAAAGAATAACCAAACTCCGAGGAGGCCGAAAAACATCCCCATGCACAAGTTTCCAGCCAGATTCTTCACTGACATCCCTTTCCTATAAAAGACATTGTAAAAAGAGTCACCACATAAGGATAGTTAGTATCTATTATATTTCTATTTATGCAAAATAAGAAAAAACTGACAAATCATCCAAAAGAATGAAATGAATATACACAAAAGTCAAAACACCATACCAGAGTCTCCAGATCATCGTCTTCCCGAGCATATTTTGCATAGTCATTCCTAAGAGTCCGCATCAATATCATTGACACCAAACCAGTAAGGAATATAACCATCATGAACGAATTGAAAATCGAGAACCAATGTATCTGCATATAGCACGATGCATATACAACTCATTAAGAGAGCACCCAAAAAATAGAACTAATTGCATTTCCTTACACACATAATTCTACTGAAATTAGGCTAACCGATATTTGACATCACAAAGAATGATAGGTAAACAAATAAACACATAATCAGTTCTTACTTGGTGCTCAAAGAAAGGGTAGTCCAAATAGACATCAAAACGACGTGCAAAGGTGACAGTGGTTGGAATCCATTTGACAGAGTATGTCAGGTCCAACTTTTTCCCTGCTTCCAGCGGCCTTGGACTATCTTGAGTGAGATTCACATGAATTATCTACAAGATTATAAACTACATAAAAAAAAAATGATAGACACCAAAGCCCACTATAAAATCCACATCGGATATGGAGGACCGCAAACCTGATCTTTATTGTATTTAACAATAATATTCTTATGCGTGAAAAGGACATGCTTGCCATTTTCACTGTTCTTGTCCTGATGCAACTCACCAACAAAGCCTAAAACATCATGAAAATATGAAGATCAATTTACTAAGAGGATATCATATACACAAACTCAAAATCTGAAGGAATAAGTATAATGCATACTCCATAAAGGCAGATCATCTGAATTTATATCCAGCGCAGCAACATCCAGGGGAGATAGCATGTTTAAAAAAAAAATTACTGGATCAGTGAATGCCCCAAATACAGACAAAATTACCACAAAACAGAGAGAAAATAAACCTTTTCACACAATACTTGATTA